TATATACTATGGAATATTACTCAGCCATAAAAAGAAACGAAATTGAGCTATTTGTAATGAGGTGGATAGACCTAGAGTCTGTCATACAGAGTGAAGTAAGTCAGAAAGAAAAAGACAAATACCGTATGCTAACACATATATCTGGAATTTAAGAAAAATAAAATGTTATGAAGAACCTAGGGGTAAGACAGGAATAAAGACACAGACCTACTGGAGAACAGACTTGAGGATATGGGGAGGGCGAAGGGTGAGCTGTGACAGGGCGAGAGAGAGTCATGGACATATATACACTAACAAAGGTAAGGTAGATAGCTAGTGGGAAGCAGCCGCATGGCACAGGGATATCAGCTCGGTGCTTTGTGACCGCCTGGAGGGGTGGGATGGGAGGGTGGGAGGGAGGGAGACGCAAGAGGGAAGAGATATGGGAACATATGTATAACTGATTCACTTTGTTATAAAGCAGACACTGACACACGATTGTAAAGCAATTAAACCCCAATAAAGATGTTAAAAAAAAAAAAAAAAGAGTCATGTACCAAAATGTTCATTGCTGCTCTATTTACAATAGCCAGGAGATGGAAACAACTTAAGTGTCCATGATCGGATGAATGGATAAAGATGTGGCACATATATACAATGGAATATTACTCAGCCATGAAAAGAAACGAAGTTGAACTATTTGTAATGAGGTGGATGGACCTAGAGTCTGTCATACAGAGTGAAGTAAGTCAGAAAGAGAAAGACAAATACCGTATGGTAATACATATATATGGAATTTAAGAAAAAAAAAATGTCATGAAGAACCTAGGGGTAAGACAGGAATAAAGACACAGACCTACTAGAGAATGGACTTGAGGACGTGAGGAGGGGGAAGGGTAAGCTGTGACAAAGTGAGAGAGTGGCACGGACATATATACACCACCAAACGTAAAATAGATAGCTAGTGGGAAGCAGCTGCATGGGACAGGGAGATCAACTCGGTGCTTTGTGACCACCTAGAGGGGTGGGGTAGGGAGGGTGGGAGGGAGGGAGACGCAAGCGGGATGAGATATGGAGACATATGTATATGTATAACTGATTCACTTTGTTATAAAGCAGAAACTAACACACCATTGTGAAGCAATTATACTCCAATAAAGATGTTAAAAAAAAAAAAATGAACGCTTAAAAAAATGCCGAGAATTCATAATGCCACCCTACCTGCTTGCACTTCTGGAACGTCTGGCTGTGCTGTAACTTTTTGGTGGTGTTTTGGAACGTTTCTTTTCTTTGTCTTCTTTCTTTTTGTCTCTAATAAATGAAAACAATTTATGAATGTATTGGAAGATTCAACTAATATATATTTCTATCAAACTACAAATAAAAACAGAAGTACAGTGAAATCTAATGTTATTCTTTAATGTTATTATACAAACTTACAAACTTTTATTATACAAACTTAATGTTATTATACAAACTTACAAACTTAAAAATAATAGTAACTCAAGCGGCGTATTTGTGGTAAACAAATTTTAAAAATCCTATTTTCCTGGTATTCCACATAAAACTTCTCTCCAAGAGCAAAGCAGAGTATGTGGCAAGAAAACAAGGACGTTGGCCAGTTTCTTAGTATGTCTGGCGATAAACGTAATAGTTTAAATAATTTTCTCTAGGCTCTTCAACACTGTTTTTCTCTCAGCTAAGTAAGTAGCAGTTTCCCAACCGACCCTGGACCCTGGCTCTAAATCCTCTACTGACAGCCCAAAACCCCATCACTATTGTAAGTTCTTCTTTCAAAGCACACACCCGATGTAACCTCTTCACGGATGAAGTCAACCTTGTAACTTTCTCCCAGCTGCTATATATTCTGGGCTATTCAATGCTTTTAGAAAAAAAACATCAAAATGGAGTGGTACTACAACCAGGCCTCAACTCTAAAATCTTTCTACAGATTCTTCTACGTTTACTTTTATTCCCCACAGCATTTTTTCGCCCCAAGATTCTAGGCAAAAGGTAAAATATATACATATTTATAATACATATATGTCCCTTATCTCCTTATAAACACACACCTATTTTCAACTGTTCTACAGTTTTAGAGATTAAAGTATCTCTTCGGTTGTTCTAGGCTAGTCCCACCCTATATCCTGTGCTTCATTCCCTCCCATCTTTGCTCATCCTGCTCCATCAGTTATCCTCTCTATTCATTCAAGTCTTTATCATCGAATTCCTAGATTACTTTAATAGTCCCTTAAGGGGCCCCAGTCATGTTTTCCACAAATTGATGCTATACCCCCTATCAGGAATCTTTCGAAGTACAAACTTGAAAATATTAATTCCCTGCTCATCACTTTTCAATTCATTCCTATTGCCTCCTGGATCAGCCGCAAACTCCTTAGTGTGAACAACAAAGCCTTCTATGGTGATCTGTCTCCTTAACTTTCCTGACCTCATTTCCTGGTCCTTCTATACCAAAATACTTGCTATTTCAAGAATTCATGCTAACTTTGTAAACATTCTCTACCTGAAACCATGCCCCCCGAGTCCAGTCAAATCTATCAGAATTCAATACTCAAGAGTCACCTCTCAATAAATCTCTTCCGACATCCCTAACGATGGCCCTTCCTTTGTAATTACATTCATCTCTCTCCTAGTATAAAGAAAGTTCCTTGAGGGAAGGAATGCCTAATTGCTTTGTATAAGAGATGTTTCATTAAGTAAGCTTGTTTGTTTGACTGATTGAATTAAAAGATGACTAACTGTAAAACATGAGTAAGAGCCTCGTTAGAGGCTGAACACTCAGTAAAGCTATCCCAGAACCTCTGTCCCCACTTGAGTTATATGCTTACCAAGAATAAATTTTGTTGCCCCCTCCCTGTGATCCTTACTATTTTAATTACATAATATATAAATGGGTAAAGTAGTATAAAATATAGGGTTGCTTCTAGAAAATTAAGGCAAATATTTTAGAAAGAGATAAAGGACATTTGTTAAAAATTAAGTGTTGTGAAACTGTATTGTGTGACAACTAAAAATGCGGGAAAAAATCAAGATATTTCCAAGTAACAGAGTTCTCAACACTTTTAAAGGTGGTTTAAATGAAAAGAAAGTGATTTGGTATGTATTATTCAAGACTAGGCCTAATTTCAAACAGTTTGGCCCTATATGAAAAAACAAATTATTGAATGCATGTTTAAGTTGAAATACAATGTTAAGGTGGGGATGTCTGTTTTTTAATGAATCCTCACTTTAATTCTCTACTGGTCCCCAAACCATGGGATAAGACTGTTAAGTATGGTTCAGTCTCTGGAATATAGCAATACTGAATTCATATTTACAAAGGTGTTCACAATGAGGTATATAAAGATGAATTAGGAAGGCATGATTGTCTGCCATAAACTCTTTGGCATACCAAGAGATGTGGCTGGTAACACTAAATCCTTAGTAATGGTTGAATGGAAAAGAGGAAATGAAAAAAGGCAGTAGAAACAGCTAAGAATTTTTACTACAAAGAAATTTTATCTAGGCCTTCAGCTGTAAGTAGAAATCTCAAGTTTATGAAGGAGCACAAGAAAACAATGTCAGTCTCCTCCAACAGTTTCTTCCTATCTCCTATCATAACCTATTCTTTGTCATTAAAGCAGCAATATTTGGGGGTGTTGGGAACTCTAAAATTTGTCTTCCCACTCAGTGTTTGTTAATAGTTTTTTACTGTACCTGTTTTTTGATGTGCTCCTTGACCTTCTACCCCTCTCTCTGGAATGAGATCTTCTCCGTCTTGGACTTTTGGATCGTCGTCTACTCCTTGACTTAGAATGTGATCGCCTTCTTGATCTGCTTCTTGACCGCCTTATAATGTAAAAGGAAGCAAACACATGTATGTAAATGGAAAAAGACTAGCTGTTTCTGACTATGTCATATAAGCATCAGACAAAAGATTCAGACATGTGGACTAGCCATCAGTGAGGGTAATTTCCTGCCATTATTTATTTACTCTACACAACAACATCTTTGATATCCTAGAAATTAGTAAATACCTTTTAACCCCTGGAATTCCTCACCTTTTAATCTTTTGCTCAACCTGTCAAACCAATCCTACTTTGCCCATTGAAACTACAACTCTAAACTTAAAAATACTGCTAGAGAATGAAGAAAAACAAAAAATATCTGACTCATTTGCATCATTTCACAATTACATAGCATTTTTGCAAGTACACCTTATTTGATTCCTCACTATTGCAAGTTAAACCCATTTACTACTTATTGAATACCTATTTATGCCCACTACATGCTTTACAAATACTAAGTCATTTACCCTCATAATAAACCTAATAAAGTATGTACCACTATTATTCCCATTTTAAAAATGGAAACCATATAGTGTGTTGCCTTCTATGATTTCCAGTTGTTGTTCTCTGAAATATATTCCACTTCTTCGGTTTGCAGTTTAAGAGAAATCCAAGTAATGCAAGCATGATACAGATATATACAACTCAGTACAAACTGCCTTTTCTACTCTTAAGTGTCCTCAACATTACATCATCTCTTTCCTGCCACGTAAGAGATGTTTCTCTCTGTGCCTACTGCATACCACCCTGCTCCCCATACTTTCTCTAAAAGGTTAAGTGCAATTAACCTTTTGATGTTCTTTGATCCTCCTTCCTATATTTTATTCCTTTCTATTTAAGAATAATTGAAGATAAATTGCAGTTCTTTGCTTAGACTTGGTCATTTAATTTCTAGTGGACCATTCAACCTCTTTTCATGGAAAACTTCAAATACAATTTAAACGTTTTGCTTTTACTTTTTCAAAGTGCCAAAGGACGGACATTTTAGTAATGTAGAAGATATGTGTTCAAATCTCATTTATAAGCCAGTTAACTGAGAGCATTCATTATTTAACCTCTTTGAGCCTATTACTTCAGCAAAGAAAAACAACAGCACCTCCATCACAGAATAGTTGAAATTATAAAGCCCAGCTCAGTGCCTTACTGTAGACACATATATTATATACTGACTCCCTCTTCTCTTACTAATGTGCTAACATAGTATTGCCATCATTCTCTAGAGCAGCTGTTTCAAAACCCATCAGTAGCAGTGTCTCATCAAATTCAATAACTTTATGTTTTGCTCATTTCTTACTTTTGACCATATTTGAAACTACCTACTAAAGCAATCCCTCTCAATAACATGTCTATATCCTAGGAAATTTTCATGTAATGCTTACCTACCTTTTTCTAAGCTCCATAAGGACAAGGGGTATATATGTCTATACCACTGTACCCTTGAGCAACAACTACAGTGTCTGACTAGTAAACAGTACTACTAATATATTTTGAGTGAAATATTGACCCTATAAAATATCAGAACCATCACTTTCTTATTAAGAATTTTTTAAAATTCTGGAAAACCAAAATTGATGCTATTAGAATTAAGTATTATTCATATTTTGAGAATTCTGGCTTTAACAAAAATTTAAGTTAACAATCATCTTAGCAAAATGGTTACACATTTATCCTACCTCTAATGTATATAGAAAAAAATATAGTTGCAGGAAAAAATCATAAGTGCATTGTTGTAGGTTTCCTTCTAAACAAAGTGATTAATAATATAAAATAGTGCTCGCTTCGGCAGCACATATACTAAAATTGGAACGATAAAGAGTAGCACGGCCCCTGCGCAAGGATGACACGCAAATTCGTGAAGCGTTCCATATTTTTTCTTACTTTCCATGGAAAAAAAAAGTCACTTACAAAAGAAAAAAAATTGTTGTATTATTAGTTGAAACTTAACTAAGTCTGTGTAAAGGTAGAACTGAGTTGTTCAATACAGTAGCCACTAGTCACATATGGCTATTTAAATCTAACTTTTAATAATTAAAAAAAATATATAAAATAGTTTAAAAAATCTAATAAGCAGAGGTATTACATCAATCAATTTATTATAAGGTGCTGAAACAGTTATTTTTCAACAGCATTGCACTGCAGAGCCACTTCAACACAGTTTACATAAGCTTTTAAAAATTAGAAAAATAAAGATTATCGTATTATGTATCTAAATACATAAAAAGCTTATTGAACGTAATGGTCATTTTATATACCAAGATGCTAAAAATACAACAACTCATAATCTTTATCTTTCTGTTATGAGGCATTACTACAAGTGTCCAAAAGCACTTTGTTCAGGGAAATAAATGTTTCACTGTTATTTCCCATTGGTCATAATTAAAATTAGTATTTGAAAGCCTTAGCATGTCCCTGTTATGTACAAAGGAAAAAGATATAGGTTCTCCTTTTTAAGTCTTTTTAAGTGTTAAACTAAGCTATGAGAGCACCTGTTCTGGAAGGTTAGGATTCTAAGTACAGGTACAGCTCAGAGATACTATGAGTTTGTTCCCAGATCACTGCAATAAACTGAGTATCACAAAAAAGTGAGTCACAATGAATTTCTGGTTTCCCAGTGCATATAAAAGTTATGTTTATACTATACTGTAGTCTGTGAAGTGTGCAATAGCATTATGTCTAAAAAACAGTGTACGTAATTTAATTAAAAATGTGGCTAAAGATCGCTAAACATCACCTGAGCTTTCAGTGAGCTGTAATCTTTTTGCAATAGTAACAACATCAAAGATCACTAATCACAGATCACCATAACAAATATAATAATGAGGTTAGCTATTTTGGAGTGGCAATTGACAAGTGTAGAAAGATTAAACCAAGATGAATAGTAAAGATCCTTGAACACCATTTTAAGGTTTTATGTGTCAACTTATTAAGACAATAAGGAGCTTCTAAAGGTTTCATAGAGCTGTGACATGTTCTAGATTTGGGTTTTTGAAAGACATCTTTAAGAATGAGATGGGCTGGGTGACAGACACACCAGACAAAACTACCCTGTAATATTCTGCTACAGACTGAATGTTTGTGTCCTCCCAAAATTCTTATGCAAAACCGAATACCCAATGTTATGACATTATGAGGTAGTGGCCTTTGGGAGGTGACTACGTTATGAAGGTGCAGCTTTCATGAATAGGATTAATGCCCATATGAAAGAAGTCTCAGAAGACCCCTTGGTCCATTCCCCTATGTGAGGACACAGTGAAGAGACAGCAAACTATAAATGAGGAAGCAGGTCCTCACCAGGCACCAAATTTGCTGACACCTTGATCTTGAACTTCCCAGCTTCCAACACTGTGAGAAGTAAATTTCTATTGTTTATAAGCCACCCAGTCTATGGTATTGTTATAGCAGCCGAATGGACTAAGACACAGTCTAAAAAATGACTGAACAATGTTATGGGGCCCATCAATTTTTTTTTTTTCCCAAAATAATAACAAGATATTTTTTGCCTTTTCCACTGTGACATTTGCACTAATAGTGCAAAAGCAATGGTGGTGTACAAGTGCTGGCATCTCCTTATTACAAATCAAGGTAGTGGCAACTGAACCTCCCTATTATCTACGGTATTCTTCACTGGCATTTGTAGTATGCACTTGCAGTAAAAAGAAAGAAAGAAAAAAAAAGAAACCCTGCCATTTTCACTAAGGATGTCTTTGATAAAGCCAGTAAAAACTATTAAATTTATTAAATCTAGTCCCTTGAGTAATATTAGAGTAGTATTATTGACTAGTAATATTAAATCTAGTCCCTTCAGCAATATTCTGTGCAACAAAATGGGCAGTATGCATAAATCACTTCTGATACTTTATAGTTCAATGACTGTGTCAAGGAAGACACCTGTGTGATTGAGTGTGAGCTCACCTAATTGCTTTTGCCATGAAACATCATCTTTACCTGAAAGAACAAGTGACAAACCATGGTTGTTCAGACTTGGGTATTTGGTGGAACACTTTCATGGAAAATGAGTAAGGTTTATCATTTCAAGGAAAACAAATTTGTTGCCAATAATAAAATTTGAGCTTTTAAGAGAAAATTAAATTTTGGAAAACCTGAACACACCATTGTGAACTTGACAGCTTCCTAACACTTTAAAAGGGTTTACCGATGAGATGTGTGGCGATATTACCAAGTCATTTTTTGATCTTGTGTAACAAAATATGTCAACATTTGAAAACTTGCATAATGTAATAAATCAATCATTTTCCAAACCACCAATGCATAACTGTACAAAAGCATGCCTGGGAAAAAGATCCATCAAGGTGTAAGAAAGATCAACAGATTTTAAAGTAGCAAAATATAAAAGGTTCACTATTACGGTTTCAGATTCCATATTACTACTACCTTTTAAGAAAGTACTCTTGTTAAGTTTTGGTATTATATCAAAGAATACTATTCCCAATTACCTGAAAAGACTATAAAATTACTTTTCCCTCTTCTCACTATATATTTGTGTAAGATTTTCTACAAATATTAACTAAAATATATTGCAATAAGTTGAATGCAGAATCCTGTACATGTCTTCTAGTAAGCCAAAGGTTAAAGAGGTTTGCAAAGATTTAAAACAAAGCAATTCTTTTAATTTTTCTGGAAAAGTTTTGTTTCAAAGCTAAGTTAATACAAATGGGTTTACTACTGTTATTTCAGATGATGGTTTCAAATTTTATTACGGCCAACACTGATAGATATAACCCACATAAACAAAAGCTCATCGGAGTACTCAAATTTTCTACAAGTATAGAGGTCTTAATACCAGCAAGTTTGAGAGCCACTGGGCTAGAGAGACCCTTACAAACTTATACAGGAATGTCATGTGAAGAAGAAAATACACTGGTCCTTTTAAATTGCCTAGTCTTACTCCAGGTAGGATAAAGAATAATTGGTACTATCATGTGGTTTGTCCAATAATACAAAGAACAATCTCATAAAAGGTAACAAGTTGTCATCTGCAAATATTCAAGCTTTAGATGGTAATCTGCAGGCTGCATGACGACATTCCATGTTCAAACTCTCAGGAGTCCGGTGAAAAGTCAGAACTAGAATTCAAGTTAAAAGTTTCAAGTCCAGTGTTCTTTCCATAGTACTAATTCATTTTAGTGCTCAAATCCCAGTGGCTTCCTTGTAAGCCTGGATTTTTGGGGGTTTTAAAGTATCAATCATCCATGTCTTTTCTCCATTTATATATGTGTGACCACTTATTCTCATACTCTGCTAATAGCAGTAGTTACCAAAACCACTTTAACCAGGAGCTAATTAGGTTAAGAGATAAGCAGATGTGACACACAGAGAAATTATCTTTGTCTAAGCTACAACTTACTACCAAAAAGCAATCAATCTAATAACCTGTGCCTAGAAGATGAGGGAGTCCTCCTCCTCCTAGAACGTGATCTTGATCTCGAGTGCCTTCGTTTTTCTTCCTTCTTATCTGGATTTAAAAGAAAAGGAATCTGGCTTTAGACATCGTCAAGCAGGAAGATTATTCCCATTCAGGAGTTATTCTTAGAATTTATTACCTTAATTTTCAGCTTTAATACAAAATTCTTAAATTCAGGCAGCTAAAGGTTCCTTTGACTATTTCATTTGCCAGACTTAGGAGGCTGTCAAGTGTCATACATAACACAATCTATGAAAATAATTACCTTTCTCATTCTTTACCCTTTAGAGATTTCTAAATCATGAGTCCCTTTTTCCATTCCTAGGTTCTACTCCCCCAAATATAGCTACCATTCACCCAGATTAAAACTCTAATCTTTACATGTTTATGTATTAATAGCATCTCCCCAACCAGTACTTAAGTGTAAAACATGTTTAAAAAATACGTTTACAATAAAAATGTAAACATTTAAAATTGTTGGTCCAGCAAAATGTTCCTTCTTTCATTCATCACTTAGCTCTATGCTCCTTTCCTAAGAAGTGTCTCATTCATTAACTCTTTTCACTATACTGCTGGGACAGAACTGGATTTTACTAATCTAGCTCTTTTTTAATCTGTCTGTCCTTCTTCTTCCTCACTCATTTTCAACTGTGTAAGTGCAGAGAGCAGAGCTAGAAACATCTGTCATCATTTCCTAGTTTTAAAATAACACATAAACTCCTTAACTTACTCCTTTAACTTAGGACATAATGAAAGAGAAATCCAGCCATTGCATTCTTCGTATATGGACTATCAAAGTGAGACTGAGTTCCTCTTTTACATTTAGATCATTTCATTAATAGGATTCAATTTATTGTGAATGTCATTATTAATAAATTAACAAAAATCTTGGGGCAAAAAAAAATTCATAAACCAATTTTAGTCATTTCAGTTATAAGTTTTCAATGAAAACAGAAATGGTGTTCTGGCTTTGGAGTCGTACAGGTCCAGTTGTCTATCAAAAGTTCCTACTGCTTGCCATGTGACCTTGGGCTAATTGTTTAATAATTTGTTGATTAAATGAGATAATACACATAAAGCATCTGGTATTAATTTATCCATTATACTTAACAATTATTTGCCTAATAGTATATACAATAAAAACCATCCCATTTATTAAGAAATAGAGTGAAAAAATGAATAAAACATTGTTTGTAATGGGAAAAAAAAAAATCAGGACCAAAGATCAAAATACATGCAGGAAAACAATGGGACAACCATTCATTTCATCTCAAAAAGACAATCTGCAAAGAATAATACATTTGCTTTTCTTTAAACAGAAGATCTTTAGTAGGTTTTCTTGGTCAAATAAAAGACTGAAATCAATTAGGCTACCCCAACTTACGCAAACATAAATGATTAAAAAACCACCAAAAAAAAAAAAAAAAAACCACATAAATTAAAAACCACCAAAATATCACACGAAGCATTAGGTAATCAATCCTAGGCACTAATGTTTCCGAATGAGGAATTCTTTGTTTAGTGAGTGGGAGGTGCTTGTACACTGTAGGATGTTTAGTATACCCCTGGCCCTCTGCCTACCAGATGCAGCTGGTACCAGCATGACAACTAAGTGTCTCCAGATATTTCCAAATATGCCTGGGTAACAACTCTTACCCATACCACCCACCCACTCCCAAATGAGAATCACTGCACTAAATGATCTTTTATCAAAATATGGGAAATAAAATTTTAAAAAATGACTGAAGTATTATTCAACTAATTTCCAAACATAATTGCATAAACCTATTTTACCTGGTTCTATAGCAGCAGAAATTAGGGACTGTGCTTCTCGTACTCTCTTCATGGCTTCCTCTATTTCTTTACTAGAGGTATCTGATTTCAGACTTGGTGAAACAAGACCAGCAGCTACATGATTCAACCTGGAACAGAACCAAGAATTGCATCTGAAATATTTAAAAATGTACAACAGCATTTCAAATAAACACATGTTCCTATCTTCATTTTAGTAAGATACTCCTTGAAAAAAAGTGGGGGGGAACTCCACAATTTTGATAAAATTATATGTAATATATATATAGTAAGCTTTGGATATTTACAATAGCACCTGCATTTTAAAAGACTCAGAGATATGTGGAATAAGAAAAAAAAATCTATTTAATTTTGCTCAACATCCATGAACTTTCTATACACATTTTGACAAACGTTAGTACATGGGAATATGCCGATGCTAAAGATTTTTGATTAACAGAATCTTCCTTAATATGATTTAAAAACTTTCTAAATCATCATAATTTTGTTGGGGAAGAATTACTTTTAAGCTTGCAGATGGGGAGAAACTGAGGCAGAAACCAATGGCACACCAAAATTACTTACGAAATTCCTGAATGGAAAGGCTAAAGATACACCTTAAGGGTTTATAAAAGTGAAAAAATACTGTAGACACCAAGTTGAGGCTGGTAGTTATTTGTGGGTAGAGTGGGAAATGTAAACAAGAATGAGTACACAGGGAGTTTTTAGAAACTGTATTAGTGTTTTGTTTTGTTTTTTTTTGCAGTAGGTGGGCCTCTCACCGTTGTGGCCTCTCCCATTGCGGAGCACAGGCTCCGGACACGCAGGCTCAGCGGCCATGGCTCACGGGCCAAGCCACTCCGCGGCATGTGGGATCCTCCCAGACTGGGGCACGAACCAGTGTCCCCTGCATTGGCAGGCAGACTCTCAACCACTGCACCACCAGGGAAGCCCCTAAAAACTGTATTAGTGATATTTTTATAAGCAGGGTGGTAGACACTTGGATTTTATCTGGTAATTTTTAAGAAAAAAATGCCACTAACTACTATAATCAAATGAGCCTGTCCTGCCTCCCCCACATGCTCTCCCACTTACTGACAGTGACTTTCACCAAGTTAAGAAGAAGCATTAAGCTCAGATTTGATATACTAAGAAATTACCAATGAAAATATCTCATGAATTTGTGATATATCAAGTAGGAAATATAAGTTACAGCATGAAGAAAACTTTTCAAAGCCCCTAAAAAGATGTTGACTATTATTATGACATGTGTTACTCCTTTACTCTGGGCTAGTGTTTCCCTCACTTCTGTCTTCTTCTTATTCATCCCCTAGGGCAGTGGTCCCCAACCTTCCTGGCCCCAGGGACCAGTTCTGTGGAACACAATTTTTCCATGGACGGACAGGGGTGTGTGTGTGGGGGGGTGGAGGGGGGATGGTCCAGGCGTAATGCAAGTGATGGGGAGCAGCAGATGAAGCTTTACTCGCTCACCTGCCACTCACCTCCTGCTGTGCGGCCCGGTTCCTAACAGGCTGCTATGGACCGGTATGGGCCGCAGCCTGGGGGTTGGGGACCCTTGCCCTAGGGCTTAGCCTCTCTGATCTTTGAACTAAGTTCTCCTCCTTGTAATAAGTTCCCATAGCACCTCTGTACTTCCTTTAGTTGGATGCACATGCTTTACTATAGTTAAATAGTGTCTCCCTTTCTGAGTATAGTAGTAGTCAGTGTAATTTTTTAAATGAATCAACTAAAGACAACACTTAGCTCTTTACTTGTCATCCTGGTTTAACCTATTTACAATGATTTTCAAAGACCAATAATTATCCCAAAACAAAACCCTTTATAGATGGGCTTACCTCTGGATTTTTTCTCCTTGTTTCTAGAAAACAGGATTACATATTGCATGCCTTGAGAAAACTTTCTTTTAGCTATCAAAAATAAAATACCTGTTCTCTAGATATTACTATATCTCTATCACCAATGGAAACAGAAGAAAAAAATCCTTACTTGGGATCAACAGTACTCATAAGTTTCAGCAACTGATCTGCTGCAAGAGACTGGAAAAACAAAAAAATAGCAATGAGAACACACAGAACAATAAATGATTACTATTTTAATTTTTTTAGTATGTTGAAATGTCCTAGAACAATCTGGCAAACCTACAGAAACTAACATATCCCAAGCACAACAATGACCTATAGAAATATAATGCCAGCCAAATATGTCATATTAAGTTTTCTAGTTGCAACATTAAAAAAGTAAACAGGTGACATTAGTGACTGTAGTACTGGATACCCAGAGCTGCTTTATCAGGTTAATTATGAAATTATGAAGCTGAACAGTCCAGATTTTACAGAATAATCACCTCCTCCTTATTTTAAGACTTTCTAAGGGAAAGTAACATTTTAAGGAAACATGTAAAACAAAACTCAAAGTGCTTAGTCAGTATAATCAAAAGAATTCCATAAAGGACTTCAGGAAAAAGTTTAGCCAAATCGCAATGAGGGAAAACAAAAATTTCCAAGTGAGTAGATGACAAGAGAATATATTATGAACACACATTCCTATCATTTCATGACTTTATTTTGACTTCATAACATATTGATGTGGTGTTGGCTTCCTGTGAAACTCGTCTACTTTGAACTTTATCAAATGAGAAATTCTTTGATGGGCAAGGGGCCAATAATGCAGTGACTTTTTAAATCTCTCATTAACAAGTTTACATAAGAAAAAATTACTACAATATGTAACAGTCAGTTACCTCCTGCTCTTGAAATGCAAACTAACATTTAATGAAGTAATTTTTTTAATTACAAAAATGAGCTCAGAGTTGAAGGGTATTAAGTCATACCTGAGAGTTCAAGTTTGCTCCAGGAAGCCCAAGTGCAGCAAGGGCAGGATCAAGAGTAGGAGCTCCCAAAGCAGCCAATGGAACAGCGCCAATCTGTGAAATTTCAAATTTTATTTATTTAAAATCTTGTTTCTGTTTCTTATACTGTGGGGGTTGGGGGAGTGCGTCAACTTTTATTTCCTCTAAAGGCCAGATAATAACTAGTTTAAGTCTGTAGGCTGTGCGGACTCTGGTGCAACTACTTAACTATGCCATTGTAGATCAAAAACAGTCAGAGACAATACATAAATAAGTGGCCATAATTGTGTTCCAATAAAAATTAACAGATAACGGGGGTCTGGCCCAAGAGCTATAGCTTGCCTACCCCTGCTATGGCCTCATTTTTCACTCATCACAGCACATTTATCTCTAAAATCAGAATTTAGAAAAAATGCAAAGATTTTCACACATTCTTGAGCCATTTATAAATATTTACTGCTTCTTAGCTCCAAATCCATTGTTTGTTGTCCTACTGCGTGATACTGAAGGCAGCACCCTTATAAGCATTTCTCCTTTGACAGCTGGCACGATGTTAAGCTTTACTTTTAGGGGGAGCTGGAAATACCTTTAGGGGGAGCTGGAAGGGCACTGACTGTGGAAGGGATTCTTTATAGTTCTTCTGTCTCCTTTCTGATTCTTATTGCAGTGCTACATGGGACACTTGGTGGCCTTCACCTCAGTGAGTTTCAGTGCCATCCTCTTAGGCAGCTTCCTAGCAAGTTCCGTGGTACTCCAGAGAACTTTCTACTGTATCTAACTTTTTGAAGGAGGTCTGAATCTTAGCCTTGAGGGGGAAGATGCACCCCCTCACCTACATGTGTTTCTTTCTTGTGTTTTCTTCCTTAGCTTAGAAGTAGAGGTTGCTTCCTATACCTGCGATTCTGGTACTCATTAGAGTTCCCTTAGTAGTCTCCTGTTACTAATTAGTAATTCCTTATACTAAAACTTTTCTCCTTCGAATTACGGTATGGTTCTGTCTCCTGCCTGACATAATTCTGATTAGTCAGTTTAATGCACACAAACCATGCAAAATCTTATAACTTCGGAGGCCGCTGACCTTCTCTACAAGCACTGTGCTGAAATTTCTCCTAGTTTCATTATTATTTAGTAAAAATAAGTTACCAAACTTCCTGCACTGTAACTGTTTACTGAGTTAAAACACTGTTAATACAGTTGATCCTTGAACAATATGGGGGCTAGGGGTGCTGACTCCTCATGCAGTCGAAAATACACCTGTAACTTTACAGTGAGCCCTCCGTATCTGCTGGTCCACATACTTGGATCATGCAGTACTATAATATGTATTAGTAGAAAAAAATCCTTATATAAATGGACCAAACAGTTCAAACTCATGTTGTTCAAGGTTCAACTGTACTATTATAAAAATGGTTATTACACAATTTTGTACATCAAAGGCATCTACAAATTACCCAGATCTTTGAATTCATCTTTATTTTAAGCCACCTACTTAATTTAAAGCCCAAGAGCAAGATAACAGCGCATGAAGAAAAAAAAAAAGTCTGAACTTCACCTTAATTTTCTTTTGTAGTTCAAATGAACATACTATTTTAAACAACATGTGCAACAGAAATCTTATGCCTCCTGATTTACGGGCTATTTTGAGAGCCAGTGACAAAACGATACAAGATATTTACAATTCTCAGAATGTTCTTAAAACGCAAACTACCACTTTAATATTTATGATTACAATACAATACTACAGCCTTCTACAATGCTCTGACCACGTGATAACAGTATACGAACCAGAATCACAACAGCACTCAAAAAGCACAAATATATTTCCATTCTTTAAGAATTCAACAGAACTAATACCTGGGTAAGTGGGTTAGGAGTAGGCAGGAGTCCACCACCAGGCAGAAGACCTGCCACTGCATTAGCTGGTGCCAACAGAGACAAAGCCTTAGTCTCATCAGGAATAACTCCTGCAGAGAAACATCCATGCATTAGAACACACTCTTTTGCAAGACAGAAAACACACAAAAACACCCAGAAAATGTCTCCCTGATACACCACCTGAGTTTGTTGAAAGTATTTATGTTCGCTAAAATATAAAGCTTGATTTCTATGATTATTTATCATTAATTTTATGTCAGAATGAAACTTCAATGTGTGAAAATCTGTATCCTTTTTCTCTACAAATGGTTAAGTTTCTAGAGTAAAAAAAAAATAGCACAATACACACTACTTTTTTGTTAACACTGCCAAGATTTCATCACCTGTACTCGATTTTTAAGTCATGAACCAAACGTAAGCAAGCACAGTCGGTTCTCCAGGGGTGTGCTCTCAACTTTCAAAAGCTGTTTTATGAACAACGACTCGTGTCGGCTGCTTCACTATAAAGCACACAGAAAAATCAAGATACACAAGACAAAAAAAGTTTGATTTAGGGGTTAATAATATGGTACAGTTACTATGATTTTCTTTTACACCTACCATACAAATTTTGTAAAAATTAAGAGAAGAAAAGTATGTAAAGGAAATATTCTGTTGGAATCAAGCGTAGGGCTTTTGCTGACTCATGAAAATGAATGTTTCTGAAGGTCTCTGAATACACACAGGATGTGTGTGTGGGAGTGAGTGAGAGAGAAAGAGAGAATAAGTAAAACAACATGGCACATTCCTTACCTGTACAGTAAAATGCCTTATGTTCCAACATGTGCCATGCTAACCATACCAAAAATGCTGCTACATAGTGTCAGTTGAAAAGCTAGCTTAGCCAAACTCCTAAAGCCAAAAACAACATGTATGTCTGTTTTTAAAGCCTAATCTGTGTATTCAGATAAAATCTAAGGGCCCTAAGACAAATATTTATGTAGACAATTTAAATTCTATCCAACAGCAAAAGCCCTATACAGATGGATTAATCTGTTAATGTGCCCAAGCCCCCAAAATGAGAGTTCAATAATACAATTAAACTACATATTTGCAAATACCAGTAGTATTTCTGTAATACATATTAAGAAACTGCATCTCATCATAAAACATACAATATGTACAGGGCACTTAAGAGAAACTGGATAAGCTGCAGAAGAAAACTGTTGGGTGGTATTTTCAGCAGGGCCTGGTATATAGTTCAGGCTGAACCAGGGAAAAGAACTGTAAAACACAACAACAAAAAAGAAAAACCACTGTTAAATAAAGGTAATGGTTCCTTCCACCTAAACTGAGAAGTGCCGATAATATAAACAAATGTATACTACACAGCACTGTTATCTTGCTTGTGTCAGAGCTGTCATCAATTTAGATACCAAGAGTTATGGAGGGGGGGGGGGGGGAGAAGATCATTTAGATATAGGGCATTAATGCATCATTATTAACAAACCTACAAAGATTATGGGATAATTTTGCATGCAAAATTATGTCTCAAGAGGATAATATTAAGTATCAACATCTTACTAAAATTAGTGCATTTGCAACATTTCTGGCAAACTAAAATCCTCTTGAATTTATTGTGAGACACCTGATAGAAGATCTGCATCCATTAAAAAAAAAGTCATGCATCTGATCCTCTGATTAAAAAAAGACTATTTAAAAATAAAACTACAATTTAAAAATAGCAATGAGGCCCCTCACCAGTTAATTTTCATGCGTCAAGAGTATTTTTTTTTACTGCTGCTTTGATAGAACCATGAAATACTGCATGAATGTGTAGAAACGAAAGAAAAAGAAACAGACAAAAGAAACAAACATTAACCAAGGAACCTAAATAATCCCCAAATCCATTACTATTAAGAGTTCCTTCCAAATCCAGCTATCTCAGTTTTACCAGTTAAGACTATTCCTTACCGTAGACTTTGTGTCTATTGTTCTAAAACACTGACCAAGAACCAACACCAAAGCTTAAGAGCTAAAACCAGGGTGAATGGTGACAAAGGGATTGAGTACATAAGATATTTAGTGGACATAACATTAATACAGCATACCATACCAAAAATTACAGTAATACGCTAATAGATTCTGGAACTAAATATTTCTGTAATTCTATATATGTACTCTCTAAATATTTCACTTTCAAAACAGATCCAGAAAAATTATTATGGTCTAAAAATATTTATGAAAGCCAGTTATATGATATACTGTATTATGTTCAGGGCTTGGGAACTATAATACTTAGCCAATAAGAATTCTTTAAATTAAAAGGCTAACTAATGTTTTGTAAATTACTCACATGATTTGACCCTTGTTCCAAAAGCTATGTTCTACATTTTACTTATCCTAAATTTGAATTCTGTAAATTTTCTCTTGGTGATAAGTCTTATCCTACAACAGGCACACTGATATAAAAGAAAATGCTTAATCAAAACATACTAACTCATAAGTTTATCAGCATATATATATTTTAAAACCTTAGAATTGGGCTCATACACTTTAATATCACGGACATAGATTTACTGTTATTATATAGCATGCCTTAACCCAACTATGAATGCAATTTAATTTCTTTAGAAAACCACAGAGGCAATTTTTCTAAGTTTTAAGGACTAGACATTTCACAACTTTTACAAGGAATGGTGTAAATGTTCACATCGGTATTCAAAGATCTAAGATAGCATCTAAAGTTAACAATATCAAGATTCTGCTTCCACTGACCAGTTCACTAAGGAAAGGGGAAAGCATTTATATCCCGGTCAGCATATATGTTAATAAAATCCAGTAGTTGTAACATATTTCAGTGACTTCTTTGACTCAAATTTATAGTTACCAAAAAGCAAATAAAGTAGCAGTACATTGGGAACAAACTAATATATGTCTTAGAAAATTTTACAAAATGGAATTAATAGAGTGCTGTCTTGTCACAGTGGCTTTTTTAGATCCAAAAACCCTGCTCATTATTTTTCTGCCAAATTACTTTAACAGCCTAAAATGTAAAAAGAGAGAAAAATGTAGTTAACAAATGGTTACACCAGGAAAACACCTGGGGGACTTGAGTGCTTGCTGGCCTTTAGTTAATGTCTAGAATCCCCTGTAGCTGCAGAGGACCCACTGTTTTTCAGTCATCTGGAAGAGTTTTGCATTTGCCTTCTCCACTACAAAAATCACACACACAAATAACAGAGAGAAGAATTTATTATTTAGAGATATTCTAGAAAATATAGCAAGAATGAACAAGAAAATCTGGCATAAAAACAAAACACCCAGTGCCCATCTGGCACCTAAGCTATAGGAAATCTTGAACTTTCATAAAAACCAAAATCATTGCGACCCTTGGTATACTGAAATTCAATGTGGGATATATTTTTTAAAGTTATCAGTGAGAAGAATCACTAAGAGGAATCACTAAGGAATAAAACCAACCTGGTCACATTAATTCAAAACAGAAACAACATCATGCATTTATTTGAAGGTTTCTGTGTAAATGCGCATGGCGTGAACTGTTCACCTTCGGGACATTTTCATAAAACAACATTAAATTAACTAAGTAGATATTAGGGATATGGTTTTAATGAACTTAAAAATACTTAAAAATAATGCAAAAGGTTAAATATCTTATAAAAACAGACCTGATTTTGAATTTTTAAGTTAAAAAGAAAGCCTTCAAGTAAAAATATGGACCACAGTATAACAAGGGTTTCAAAATGTTAATAGCTTAGATTTTTAACATGCTACTAATGCTCACTCTAAAACTACACTGAGGTAGATGGTCATCATAGGATGCCCACATAGGTAGTTAAACAAAGCACAAACCTTCTGCATATGGTACGACTATCAAAGCTCTGTCAACGAATACAGTGTTTGTCAGATGCTGTGCCACAACTGCTGAGTCCGGATCATGGAACTTAACAAAGCAGACTCGGGATGAGACTGGCAAAGGCGAATCACTAAAAAATAAACAGATAACATAAAAGAAGAGAAAAATATCAGCTAAAACAGAAATGAGTGATTCACAAATGACACTTGCATTCCAAAAGTAAAAGAGGCAGATAAAAATACATAACTGCACACATATTAGTTAACCAGTTCAAAAATACGTGACATTTCCAATAAAGTACTACCCACAGAACTGACCGTAGCAAACTGCACCTAGACAAAAACAATCACTGTTTAAATTTACAATGCATCAAGTTACAACAGCTTGAAACTATAAAGTCTCAGAGTTTGAACAGGTCACAAAAATGTCAACATTTATTTCATAATAACAATACCAGCCATTTAAAAATACAGGTAACAAGTAATTAGTTTTGGCTTAGAAAACTTTTCATTACGGCTAACTTTTCAGAGTTAAAAACAAAACTTTTTCATTATGGCTAACTTTTCAGAGTTAAAAACAAAACCATTCCATTTTAGGGACATATGAATATTGTGGTAACGTACACCTATTTGACAATGAGTTTTCTTGATCTGCTACTAAATGCCCTGTCCTCCTAAACCTACAGCATATTAAAATTCCCAGGCATTAAAATAGTTAAGCCTCTCCCACTAGAGCACCTTCGCAGAGAAAAAGAAAATTAAGCACACATGGGAATAATACTACACCCCGCCCCACAATTAGGCAAAATTTCAGTAAGCAAAGAGTCACTCCCCTCAGCAACTGCGTTCTTATATAAAACAAAAACAAGTTGCTACAGTGCAAGCAATGGTAGGTCTAAGATAAGATTAGAAAAAGAGCAGAGTTTTTGCTGTTTTTTAAAAATATAAGATGGTTAAATTTCAGCCACTAAACTCTCTGTGAAAGGGAAAGATTAAATAAACAAAGGCAGGGGTTGCCTTAACACCAAACCAAAAGCTATTTGAAAATCAATACCGTAAGGCAGTAGTAATCACGTCATCCCTGGTTTATATTAGAATCATGGCGGGAGTTGGGGGGCGGTTGCGGAACTACAATTACATCAAGATCTCTGATGAATGAAGAACTGAGTGCTGCCTTCTTTAATTCTCCCTGACAATTTTAATATGCACCCGGGGTAAAGATAGGTTCAAAGCAAAGCTGTCAATGTATGTATCACAGATATCAAAATGGACTTAAGCCATCTTGTTACAGAAGTTTACTGCAAAATGTTTTTGAAAGGATACAATGTTTTTTCAGTGTAAAGCATCACTGGTCTAAATTAACAATGTTGCACCCAGTATACTGAAAAGAATGCTGTTTCATTAGTTTTAGTACTAAAGCTATATAGCTCTTCATATTTCTTTCCTGACATCCATTCTTACCACTAAATTAAAAAGCTCTTTAAACGCTATCATTTTATGTTCTTAACATCTAACACAATGCCTTGGCAGGTAGTGAGCACTTAAATTTCTTAAAAAGTGACCTCTACCATTTCTTTGATACCATCTATTGTCATTTAACTAAAAGAAAAAGATAATGACTATCAAATATTAGGTTTTTAAAGAATATAAACATAACACTTCTTTTAAAAAAATTAGGGGGCTTCCCTGGTGGCGCAGTGGTTAAAAATCCATCTGCCAATGCAGGGGACACGGGTTCAAGCCCTGATCCGGGGAAGATCCCACATGCCACGGAGCAACTAAGCCTGTGCGCCACAACTGCTGAGCCTGTGCTCTAGAGCCCGCGAGCCATAACTACTGAAGCTTGGGCGCCTAGAGGCCGTGTTCCGCAACAAGAGAAGCCACCGCAATGAGAAGCCTGTGCACTGCAACAAAGAGTAGCCCCCTGCTCGCCGCAACTAGAGAAGGCCCGTGCGCAGCAACAGAGACCCAACACAGCCAAAAAATAAATAAATTTTTTTTAAAAAAATTAGGAAAGTATGCCTACATTCTCCCAATGTATTTCCATTTACTTGGCGATCTTAAATAATTCACATTTTTTTCTACCCACTCATGTCTGTGCAACATTAGTTGGCTATATCAAACCTGTTAAGTGGTGGTGAAGTAAAGATAAAATACAAACAATTTAAATATCACGGAAAAGAGAGTCACAGTAAGACAACTCAGAAGGGCAAATAATTAATTTCTCTCCACTTTAAATGGTCTTGTTTAAAACCATTGCTATTTGGTCCCACAAGTATACTGTCATACTTCCTCAGTTAAAATTAATAAAAGAGATGTTAAGATAAAGAATTGATACTGGAAATTAATTTTCATACCCTAGAATTTTGTGCAAGTACCACTGCTACAAATAAGACTGTCTTTACTCCTTATCTTTAAGAATTAATACAGAAGAGGCAGTGCAGTTGAAAAGAACTGAGGAGCAAGATTGGTGGTGATATTGTCTCTACTTTCTTAAGAGTGACCTCTAAGGGTTTTTTCAGAATCTTCTGGGATGCACACATAAAATTCAGATTACTCTTTTCCATCTCAAGCCCACTGAATCTGAGAATCCCTTTTTTTTACGGGAAGGCTCTGATTCTTAACAAGATCCGCAGCTTATACTCGTGCCTGCTAAAGTAGAACTGCTGGTTTGGGTCAGATGTTCTTTCAACCCCCAACTTAATACTGAGCTAACCATTTCTGAGCAGAGAATTTTGAGCTTATAAACAATGCATCTCCTAAACCCTGCAAAACAGCAACTGTGTGGCAAAGCTAACAACTCTGTTGACCTCATATGCCCTTTCCATCATGTGCTCTTATTCAGTTCTAAAGAAATACAGTAAATTGCTGCATTTAAAAAAATTTAAAAGGTAAACTATGTTCTTTCCCTTACCTAACTATACTAAGTTACTTATATGATCACTAAAGTATCTCTTTTTGGTCACTGAAAAGTTAGTAATGAATTTATCTGCAGTGTTACAAGTAGCCTTCAGTTACTGCATAACTGGCATATGCATCTCAAGGATCATTACCTGATAAGGACTCCTGTTACATTCTCCACTCTGAAATCCCACTAAATTCAAACATTTGAAGAATACCTACCAGGCGTAAAAGAATGATTCCACTCACAAGTTGTTTGGCTAAATCAAGGAAATACTGATCAAGTGGCAAAAAAGAATCAGAACATTGGGGTTTGAATAATAGTTCTGACACTAGTAGAGGGGCTTGCGTATACAGAACCTATGTGAATTTCAGTTCACTCATTTGTAAAATGGTAAAATACCTTCTTCTGAATATGTAAGGACTGAGCAAGATAAAATAGGAAAGCATTTAGCATACAAAAGACAAACCATGTTGAATTTTCAATATGCATTTTAAGAAAAACCAGAATCAAAGTAACCTTTTCTTTTAAAAAGAATGAGGGAACACTGACATGCTTTCAGATAGCTGTAGGTAGGGCTATCATACTGAAGAGAGGGATAGAATACTATTTCCTGTGAAGATTGTATTATCACTGGGTGAAATTATAAGCCAGCAATTTCTGGCTTAAAGGAACCAAGATATAGATGGTTCAATAATGAAACAAAGGGAGACACCTTCTTGAGGAGGTTGTCAGTGAAATGTCTGACATAATCCCAGATGCCAGGAATTTTCCCCCCAAACAGGCATGTAGAACTGAAATTAGTTTCAGCAGGTATAGGTTGGGGCTCAGCCATGTAAGTTCTTTAAAAATGCCCCTAGAGGGCTCCCCTGGTGGCGCAGTGGTTGAGAGTCCGCCTGCCGATGCAGGGAACGCGGGTTCATGCCCCGGTCCGGGAAGATCCCACATGCCGCGGAGCGGCTGGGCCCGTGAGCCATGGCTGCTGAGCCTGCGCGTCTGGAGTCTGTGCTCCGCAGCAGGAGAGGCCACAGCAGTGAGAGGCCCGCGTACCGCAAAAAAAATTAAAATTAAAAAAATAAATGCCCCTAGAGTGATGTTGATGACCCCAAGGGATCTCATTCTAGAAGAGGGAGGAAGTCAAACTTCTAAGTTGGTGAATGGTGCTACACAGAAAAAGCAGTTAAATGAATAGAGAAGGCAGGGAGCAGAGGTGTTGTATTTTTATATAGTGTGATTAGGTGACATTTGAGCAACAAAAGAAAGCAAGTCCATCACGGGCATATCTAGGATAAGAGTTCCAGGTGGATAAGAATACCTTTTGG